ACCCCCATCTCTACAAGAAGTTTTTTTTAAAAAAGGACTGGTCACGTGGTCGATGGGTAGGGTGCGCGGTTCTCAGCGCGGCGGACACTCGCGTGCTAGAGGGTAGTTGCAGTCCTCAGCTCTTCCGCCTGAATAGCTGCGGTCACGTTTACTGCCAGGCATGCCTTCTGTGGCCCTTGTCGCCCTGTCCGCCCATCTTCCCCGGAAGGTTGGGAACTGCAGGCTCAGCACACACAATAAGGCTTCATTTGCATAGTCGAGGTCCCAGGACAAGTTGCCTGTGTGTTTACTTAGTTTTCTTTTGACCTCCCACCATTTTCTCTTAGTTTCAAAAAGAAGCAGCGATACAGAGTCGTTTAGGCAATAATCAACCCTCCCCCGTTCCCTGCCTCCGCTAATGCTGGTGGTCGCTCGCTGCCATCTCTGCGAAAAGGGATGGGCAGAACCGCCCGCTGTACCTGCTTCCCACCGGCCTGGGGCGAGGTGGAGGGGAGGACAGCTTTTCCTATCCCAAATCCTGAGATTAGGACCTCAGGGCTAAATCTTGCGTGGCAGTAAAAATTATTTGGAAGTTCTGTGCAGCCGTTCCAATATTCTGCTTTAACGTGCACGGAAATAGCCTAAGTCCAGGTGCCAGCCAGGGAAGCCACTCCGGGCCCCGCTGACTAAGCCCTGGACTGCTGGTCTGGAGTCGTTAGGTTGGGTCAACTATGACTCTTGACGTTGACTCATTCTCCTTAGGTGAGTGACTTAATCACTCGGCGCCTCAGCTTTTTCATTTATGAACCAAAGGTGATGATACACTTACCTCACAAGGGTGTGCTTTGGTAATGACTGTAACCAGCTTTGAAAATGCATTGGACTCTAGAAATGCTTCATAATAAGCAACCTCGTGCCTTCTTAAAGATCAGCTGTTTCTCCGGTTTGTTTTTATAACGAAGTTTACATTTTTTTATGTTTATTTTATTTGATTATGATGTACACCAGTGTAGTTTTAAAGTTTCATTTTTTTTTTCCGTTTACAACTGCAGCTGCCCTCAGTAGAGGATTTCATGTTCACGAAATTATTATTAAGCTCACAACAATCACTGGCAATCAGAAATTTGTCCCCACACTGGCATCTTACATTTCCTTTCCCTCTTAAGATACTGTGCTATCATTTCTCAAGACCGTGTTTTTTGCACAATCTGGCTATTACAAATAGAGATGTAGAAATCTAGGAGATTCCCAAGGTTCTAATGAAGAAGACACTGTCTCATTACTATTTCTCATGCTTCTTAATAATGTCGACGCTGGGAAAAGGAGTGTATGCAGGCTGCCCCTGCCTGTCTACTTATAGTGTTACTGAGGTCCAGAGCTGTGTCATACCTATTATTGAGTACATAATGGATGCTTGAGTTGACTAACACATAATTGAGGCTGTATAAGAACCCAAAGCTATTGCCTGTTCATATGTTTTGGTTTACCTGAATATCAGAAGTGATTAATGAAAGCTTTTGTCTAGCTTTCATTAGAGCTTAGCTCTACTAGGTTTTAAAGTAGGTAGAATTATAAAAGATAAACAGGTAAGTGGATTTCTACTTACAAAGCTATCTACAGTTAACTTAGACTATCCAAAGTAATTTCAGTTGATGGCATTGATATTTTCTGTTGCATAGATTTCCTATTTTCTTCCTACCTTCCTTCCTTTCTTCTTCTTCTTTTTTTTTTTGAGACAGAGTCTTGCTCTGTCACCAGTCACCAGGCTGGAGTGCAGTGGCACAATCTCGGCTCACTGCAACCTTTGCCTCCTGGGTTCAAGCAATTCTCCTGCCTCAGCCTCCCGGGTAACTGAGAATACAGGCTCATGCCACCACTCCCAGCTAAATTTTTTTTTGTATTTTTAGTAGAAACAGGGTTTTACCATGTTGGCCAGGATGGTCCTGATCTCTTGACCTCATTATCCACCCACCTCGGCCTCCCAAAGTGCTGGGATTACAGGCTTGAGCCACTGCACCCAGCCCCTTTCTTCTTTCTCTTTTTTTCTTTCTCTCTCTCTCTCTCTTTCTTCTTTCTTCTTTCTTCTTTTTTTTTCATGGTATCACTCTGTTGCCCACAGTGGAGTGCAGCGACATGATTATGGCTTACTGCAGCCTTGACCTTCTAAGTTCACGGGATCTTCCCACCTCAGCTTCCCAAGTAATTAGGACTACAGGCATGGGCCACTATGCCTGGCTAATTTTTTTTATGTTTTGCAGAGATAGGGGGAGGTAGTGGGGAGCCAACTGTGTTCCCCAGGCTGGTCTCAAACTCCTGGGCTCAAGCGGTCCCCCTGCCTGGGCCTACCAAAGTGCTGGGATTGCAGGCATAAGCCACCAGTCCTATTTTCTTTTTTTCTTCCTTCCCTCCCTCCCTTCCTTCCTCCCTGCCTCCCTCCCTCCCTCCCTTCCTTCCTTCCCTCCTTCCTTCCTTCCTTTCTTTTGAGATGGAGTCTCACTCTGTCACCCAGGCTGGAGTACAGTGGCACAGTCTTGGCTCACTGCAACTTCTGTCTCCTGGTTCAACTGATTCTCGTGCCTCAGCCTGCTGAGTAGCGGGGATTACAGGTACACACCACCATGCGTGGCTAATTTTCATATTTTTAGTAGAGATGGGGTTTCACCATGTTGGCCAGGCTGGTCTCAAACTCCTGACTTTGTGATCCACCCACCTTGGCCTCCCAAAGTGCTGGGATTACAGGCGTGAGGCACTGCACCAGCCTCAGATGTCCTATTTTCATGAAGCTGTTACATAACAGCAAAAAATCGATGAACTTGGCAAGGAAATACCTACATGGGACTGAAAACCAGTGATGTTCTTAAAATCTTTTTTTTAATTTTGAGATGGAGTCTTGCTCTGTCGCCAAGACTGTAGTGCAGTGTTACGATCTCGGCTCACTGCAACCTCCTCCTCCCGTGTTCAAACGATTCTCCTGCCTCACCCTCCCCTGTAGCTGGGATTACAGGCAGGTGCCGCCAAACCCGCCTAAATTTTTGTATTTTTTTTAGTAGAGACAGGGTTTCACCGTGTTAGTCAGGATGGTCTCGATCTCCTGACCTAGTGATCCACCCGCCTCAGCCTCCCAAAGTGCTGGGATTATAGGCGTGAGCCACCACGCCCAGCTTAAAACTTTTTTTAAACAAACAGTTTTTATTTTCATTAAGTTTTATCTTGATCAGTCAAACAAGACTTATGCTTTTACAATACTTATGGATGCTCTATTCTTTACGGATTAGTTTCTTTCCATTTTTAAAACAGTTTTCAACATTTATCTTTATTTTTTTTCAAGCACAGAGTTTCAGGAAAATCTCTGTTTTTGTATATGCTTTGTTGCATGTGTTTTATGACCATTCATGTGTCTTTGCCTATTTGAGATTCTACCGTGTCAAAGATTTAATGATTAGGTTTTTATGGATGTGTGTATGTGGTTGTTTTGATTCTGCCAATCTTAAATACACAGAGCTGAAATTTTATGTTTTATTTCTATATCCTTTTTCTCTGTTTATTCTCTATTATTCTCTTTGCTCTTCAAAGGACTTAAGATTCCAAGTTCATTTACCAAACCTACCAGAAACCATTCAACAAGTACTAAGTTAGTAATGGGAACTATATAATCAGTGGAGGATATTTAAAGGACACAGGAAGTACAGGCATTTCCTTCCCTGACTGTAAAATCTGGTTGGCATACTAAGTCATAGAAATATAAATAGTTCGGTACCCATATAAAGAAGTGTGACTAAGAACCAAAAGGATGCAGTTAACAAGCACCATAACTAGCACGCATTCACATAATGAGTGAGAGAGTCTCATACTTCCTTTCCTCATTTCATTCAGGACTCTGTTCCAAAGTCATCTCCTGAAAGAGGGCTTCCTTGATCACCCTATCCAAATTGCCTTTCTCATTACTCATTATCCCCTTACTCTGCTTTGGTTTTCTTTTTCTTTTTTTTTTTTTAGTTAATTAATTATTTATTTATATAATGATTTATTTATTTACTTAGAGGCAAGCAGGCAGGCTTGCATTTACTTATTTATTTATTTTCTTATTATTTTTATTATTTTATTTTATTTTATTTTTTTGAGATGGAGTCTTGCTCTGTCACCAGGCTGGAGTGTAGTGGCGAAATCTCGGCCCACTGCAACCTCTGCTTCCTGGGTTCAAGCGATTCTTCCGCCTCAGCCTCCAGAGTAGCTGGGACCACAGGCGCGTGCCACCACACCTGGCTAATTTTTTTGTATTTTTAGTAGAGTCAGGGTTTCACCGTGTTGGCCAGGATGGTCTCGATCTCTTGACCTTGTGATCCGCCCGCCTCGGCCTCCCAAAGTGCTGGGATTATAGGCCTGAGCCACCATACCCGGCCTGCTTTCATTTTCTTTAGGCCACTTCATATAACCCTAACTGTAAACTTGCTGTTATGTTAAACATAACCCTTAACCAGGTCCCAATGGTTACATGTTTAGGTAAATTCCAGTCTTGTATTATAATGTTCTAATGCATACATTTATGAGAAATGTGTTTTCCTGTTTAGATAATTCCCTTAGGAAAATTTTTCATCAGTAGAATTAAATGGTTTATAGGATACAAACATAGTTTTGACTGTTTATACAAATTGGAATTAATGTTGCTCTCCAAAAAGTGTGGTATCAACATGTCACAACAGCCTTACCAGTGTTGGGTAGTAAAGAAATTAAAAGAATATATTGTTAATAATTATTATTGCTAGCTTCAATATTTATTCATAGCCTTTACCTTTGTTCCATTACCTGTTATTTTGGAAATGTTGAAATCTACAAAAAATTTGAAACAATACAACGAAAACTTATAAACCCTTCACCTAGATTCTCTAGTTGTTAATCTTTGAATCAATAAGGATTGATAAGGGCCGGGTGCAGTGGC